CAAAAATAATCAAATTGAATTCAAGAGTCGGTTACGTGTAAGGAAGGATTAGCACCCTACCATGCTCATAAATTGGTATCAATTAATCATATGTTATTTTTGGTGTTAGATGAAATAGTTTTGATTTGAAATTTAATAACAATTCTCTTTATTTTTTGAAAAAAAATCAATTTTATTGAAAGTTTTTGTTTAGGAATATTGTAGAAATCTTTAAATTAAAAAACTACCTTAAAGTTCTTTAATGTTTATGCAAAGCTTTAAAGATAACTCTTTGACTAAGATTCACCACGACATTAGTTAAAAATGAAAATAACATTTTTTGTAGAAGATAATTGTTGGCGACTCTCCAACATCTAGGCAGAGTATCAAGAATTATTTCCCTTAAGATGTTCTTTTTATTTTATTTTAAAAATCTATTTTTTGGAATAATACTTTTCATTAAAACATTTTACGCGAAGAAACTAATGAAGTTACAATTAACTAAGAAACAATAGTAAAAGGTCTAAACATGCGAAATGAATGTAAATAATAATAAACAAATGCATATATGCCAATGGATGATATGCTTGATGATAATATGCAATTTTGAAACTGGGTTCTTAAACATAATGAGACTACTCAGACTCCCCCACTTTAAGCAAAGTTTAGGTATGACTATTTATATTTAAGATTTTATTTTTTATTTTTTTTATTTTTTAATCTTGATATTATTATAATCACAAAGTCGTGCTAATAATTTAGTGAAATAAAATTTTCTATATACTCCATCTTCTAGGCGATATTTAGGAATAAATTACTTCACATGATATATTCAAATGTATCCTTGAAATTTTGGAATGATTTTGAGTATGGGTTTAGGTCAAGACTTTAAAGTTTGGTGATGATTTTAGATTGTGTGTTGATTTTAGGGTTTAGGTTAGATTTAAGGCCTTGATGGATTTTTAAGATTTTGAAGTTTTAGCGTTTTAAAGCTTTAAGGCTTAGGTTTTTGGGGTTTCAAGATTTTAGGGTTTGAATGATTTTTTAGTATTGGATTTTAGGGTTTGGGGTTCTAGATTTTAGGGTTCTAAATTTTAAGGTTTTGAAATTTTAGGATTTTAAGGGTCTATGGTTTTAGCATTTAGCGTTTTGGAGTTTTAGGTTTTGAGTTTTATGGTTTTAGATTTTAGGGTTTTGGAGTTTAGGGTTTGAAAAGTTTAGGATTTTAAGGCTTTTAGAGTTTAGAGGGTTTTAAGGTTTTGAATTGTAGGGTTTCAAGGTTTAGGGTTTAAAAATCTTAGGATTTCGACGATTTTTGGGTTTTGATGGTTTTGGGGTTTCAATGGTTTATGGTTTGGAAAGTTTTAGGGTTTTGAGAGTTTAAGGTTTAAAAATTTTAAAATTTAAAGGTTTAGGGTTCCAAAGGTTTGGAAGTTTTTAGGGTTTGGATTTTAAGGTTTGAAAATTTAAGATTTTGAGTTTGGAAGGTTTAGGGTTCAAGATTTAGAGTTTGGAGGGTTTTTATAAGAACACGAACAACTCTAAAAATTTTTAATATCTAGACGAACTTTCGAAGCAAGTTTGGTTTTTATAATTTTACTAAAATTTATTAAAATTTTTCATATATTTCCTTTTTTATAAAAAATTATTATTATAACTTATTTGTTCTTTTATTTAATAATTCATCAACATCTAGGTAGAGTTATTTACTATTGTTATTTTTTAAAAGACAATTTTTATTCCTTCCATCATCTAGGTAGGAAAAAAAATCTTTTTTTATTATTCTATTTTCATTATCACTTTTTTATACATTTTTAATTTTTTAATTATATTTTTGGGTATTATTCTTCATTATTTTTTCAAATTTTAAAAAAATTTTGAAATCATTTTCATTTTTATTATTGTTATTATTTTTAGTTATTTTTTATTTTATATTATTTAATAAGGTTTGTTTTAAAATTTTTTACAAAATTGTCAAAAACTTTAACTTTATTACTCATTATTTATTTATATTTATTTATTCATTTTGTTTTCATTATTATTATTATTATTAAAATTTATTCTATCAAGTTTAAAAGTTTAAACATGCATAAATAATGATAAAACAACTCAAAAAGATAAAAATAATATTATAAAAATTAAATTTAAAAATTACAAAAAAAACTCAAATTGGACCGATCAACGTCGAGCAATTCAAAAATGGTCAAAGACTAGTTCAATTGGTTCAATCAATAGGAGATGAAGTCGGGTCAGTGGCTTAGGCATGTGGACCCTAGGTCGAGTCACAGGTCTATGTGCGGATTTTGGGGTTTCAGAACGACCTCGTTTTTTTATTCCATTGCCTATATATAAAACTATATTTTTTAACCCATTTCATCTCCCCTTAAAAAAAAAAAAAAACTTCTTTTCTTTTCTCAAACAAAATCCAGGAGGGGTCGACTGATCTTCGAAAGCAGATTGTTGTCGATTGTGTTGGTTGTCATCACCAGTTGCCGCTAATGATCGAAAAACCCAAAAAGCACCCAAAACGATCCTCTCACCTCTCTCTTTTCCATTTTAACATCCTTTTCATCCAAAATGCCCCAAACAACCTTGATTCACCTTGAAACCCTTTGGTTCCGAAAACTTTTTTTTGTTATTGATTTTTTTTTAAGCTGACACTAAGTTTCCCATTCCCAAGGGATTGTGATATATATATATGTATTGTTTTGTGTTAGTTTATTCTTTTTTTTTGTGGCAGTGGAAATTTTTTTATTTTGGGTAATTTTTTTTATGGTTCTTTGTATTTTCAATAGAACTTTTTTTTTATTACTTTCAAAAGGTTTTTTTTTTGGGCTTTTTATTCTTTTTTTTTTTGGCAAAGTTTTTTAGTGGGTTTTTTTTTTAACATGACCTTTTTGGGTAAGGTTTCCTTTCTTTTTTTGTTTGCTCTTTCTAGCAGTGATTTTTTTTGTTTTTTTCTTTTTCAAGCTTTTAAGCAAGTTCTCCGTCTTTCATTGTTTGGTGTTCATGAAACTCTATTTATAGAGTTTCGGCTGTAACTTCAGCTGCCAAATGATGGCGGCACGTGCGACTAGATATGGGAGCAAGTGTTTGGTAGAGTGTGGCATGATGCAAGGTAATTAGGGGCTCAGATGGGTTTGGTAGCCAGTGCTCATGGGAGAATGTTTTGGGGGGGGGGGGATTAGAAGAGTGAGTGGTGGTGGTGTTATGCACGATGCCCATTGTCATTAGTCTTTTTTGTTTTTTTGTTTCTTTTGTGTTTTTTTGGATTAATTATTTTTTGTGTTTAATAATTATAATTAATTAATTAATATTATTTTATATAATTGTATAACAAAATAAAAGTAAAAATAAAACAATGGGCCAGGCTTGGAAAAAGAAATTGGGTTTCAACCCTTGAACTTGATAAAACCGAGATCCAATTTAATTTACTTAAAAAATTCGGACAAAATTCAATTTCTAAAACCCTGCACTCAGTTAAAAAAGTTTATTTTTCTTGAAGTTCATTTAGCCTGCTGCACTCAAAACTGTTGAACATATTCCTAGTCTACTGACCAGTAAAGAATACAAGCTTCAAGTATTCAACTAATTCCGGGAACATTAGGTGGACGAAGCCACTGTTATCTAGACATTATTCTTCAAAGAAAATTGGAAAAGAAACCCTTTCCTCATCTTTTAGTCAGTGACGGATATGAATTCACCTATGGAAAATTCTCAGTCTCCTCGAAGCTTCTAATATTCTTTCTCTTCGACCAAATGAACTGACTCTGATATACTCTTCGCCACCAGGACCAAATCCCTTTCCTGGAACAGTCACTATGTTTGTTTTCTCAAGAATTTCACTTACATTCCAAGAACTCAATCCTGGAAAATGTACCCATATATATATATATATATGTATATATAAGGCGCATTCCTGCCACCATAAAACGTTCAAGCCAAGTGGGTGCATGGTACCCAGAAATAAAATTAGGCCAGGGAACTTCATGCATTTCACGACGAATGAAGGCAGATTAGTAAATGAAAGCCCGGATAAGCTTACTGGAAAAGAAGGGTCCTGCACAGCCACTGTCACATTGGATCCCAGAAGCATCTGCATGGGAGAAAGCCAAGAAAAATTACATCATCTAACATAAAGCCAGCTAGAGCAAAACAAGTGGCTAATCACTCGTATACTTCTGATGTAACGAGTATGCACATTTTGACACATATATACCAAAATTATTAGCTGGTTAATGAATGATTAATTTAATAATTATAATTTAAATAATACCATTCGTGTATTTTACAACTTTATAAGAATTATTTACAAAATAACAACAGCGAATCATGGTATATTAAATGTTTTCAAAATGACAAAAGTTTATTATAATGCAGTATCAAATACTTACAATGCAACATGTTTGATATCCAAAACTATTCTGCAAGTTGGTAGGCAATCTTTTCAAAATAACAAAGTTGAAAATGATGGAGTATCAAACATTTATAATATATGGAGGATGTTTGATATCGTTCATAGTCTTCTCATCAAAATTCTGCTGTCAATTATAATTCTTTTTTCCTTGGCTGCTAAAAAAGAACAGAGTTAAATATTAGTTATTTTTGGAATTGACATGCAGTAATATATGCTCGTGGTCTTGTAGGCGGGTTGTTGTGTACGAAACTAAACATTAATTAAATTCGACAACATCAACATGATGATCCGAATAATAAAAAATTTAATTTTTTTTTAATAAAATTTTAATTTTGAATCTTTTAAATAAAAAAATAAATTTAAAAAAATTTACCTTCTTTCTATTCTAGATTAATCAAAAATTTCATATTAATTAAAACTCAAAATAATTATCGAACATTAAAAAGTCTCAGGCAAAAAAAAAAAAAGTTCCACAATTTATTTATTGGTATTGTGCATTTTTTTTGTAAAAAAATAAATAAATTAGAAGTTAACCCTTTCTGTTTACGTTATCAACCTGAACGACTACTTTCTGTTTACGTTATAGATTTAATTGGCAGAATGGTAAAATAGAATAATCGAACGGTGATTATTGAAAGATTCACATTGGTTACTATAGACCTGTCCTCTTCTTAACATTTGTCCATAAAATTTATTTTCCGTACCTCTCAAAACCCTAATTCCCAAAATCCGTTAAAATAAAATGAAATTCCCATCGCTCTCATCATTCTCTTCTCCATCTCCAATGGATCATGTAAGCCGCCATAATCTCTTGATTTCTTAAATTTTCTTGAATAATTAATTTTTTATTTTTAGTGTTTTTCAGTAATACTGATATTTTTCTTAAGCTCTGTTTTGTCTTTTTAATTATATACACGAAAATGTAAGATTGGAAATTTTTTCTTTATTCTTTATTAAGAAAAAAAGAATCGTAATTTGGTTGAAATTCTGTATATCAATGTGGGTGAATGATGTTATTGCTGGTTTGGTTTAATGCCCCTTTTTAGTTTGCTAAATATGAAATTAGTGTTTGTTTTAATTAAAGTTTAAAAGTGCTTCAATCAAAGAAATATTCAAGTAATTGATTTTATCCCAGTGCATTTCTGGGCTTCTTCTGCTGTATTAAACTAGGTAGAATTAATCAGCTGAAAAGCACGAAATTACATTGCTGAATTTCAAACAGATAAGTTAGTAAAACTCCGGCATCTGTTCTTGCCTGAATGTTGCTTCGGTGTTTCACTAGTATTTTAGAACCATCACATTTATGTTTCCTTTAATAATGTGTCCTAAACCCTTGCTGTAGATAGCAGATTGAGATTGGCAATGCAAAATGTTCTTCTAAGATTTGGAAGTGTTAAACTATGTTTACAGTTCACGCAGTTTCTTATGGTCTGATTGAGTGTGTTCTGATGTATGGTTTCTATGCACGTCAAACTTGCTTAGGCACAATGCTTAAGGCTGATGGTTTTTAATTCTCTGAGAGCTGGTAGATACATCCATCGATTTTGGGGTACAAGCACTCTATCCCTTGATAGTTTTTGTGCATTTGGCTATCCAGTAATTTGCAGCCGTATGAAGGAAATCAAAGTAAAAGATGCTTCTACTTGGTGTACTCTTGTACCTGATGGAGAACCCCATATCCAGTCTGTATGTGAGGACCATAAGTGTTCATCTGTAAGTGTGAAATCTACCCCTGAAATAGAAAAGAAATACGTCCATCGTGTTTATGATGCTATTGCCCCCCATTTTAGTTCCACCCGTTTTGCTAAGTGGCCAAAGGTTGCTGCTTTCTTGGAATCTTTGCCTACTGGCTCTCTTGTCTTGGATGCAGGATGTGGAAATGGGAAATATCTAGGGTTAAATTCCAGCTGCTATTTTATTGGATGTGATATAAGTCCTCCCCTTATCAAAATATGTGTTGATAAAGGGCATGAAGCTTTGGTTGCAGATGCAGTTAATCTTCCTTACAGAACTAATTTTGGTGATGCAGCAATCTCTATTGCTGTGTTACATCACTTAAGTACGGAGAATAGGAGAAAGAAAGCAATTGAAGAATTAGTGCGAGTAGTCAGAAAGGGTGGTTTAGTTCTAATAACCGTCTGGGCTGTAGAACAAGAGGATAAGTCATTACTTACAAAATGGACTCCACTTACCGAAAAGCATGTAGAAGAGTGGAGAGGACCACGTAGTCCTTGTGTTCGTTGCCCTTCATCCTTCTCTTTAGAAAGCATTCCTGAAACTGAGGAAAATGGTTTGAGTGGGCATATGAAAGATTCTAGGGAGAGTTTAATGGAGGATATGCAACAATCAGCATGTTTAAACCCCCAAAATAAAGATGATTCATTGGTTTCTAAAGATGGGAGGAGTCAACAGGAATATTTTGTCCCTTGGCACTTACCTTATCATCGTGCTGAAGTTAGTGGTGCTTCTGCTGTTGCTCTTGCAACTGGTTTGGCAAAGAAAGATGATAAGAAGGGTGCTGTAGTCTACAACAGATATTACCATGTGTTTGGTGAAGGTGAGCTTGAGAGGTATGTAATATCTTCTTTGCAAATGCTTGCAGTTCTATTTGCCCATTTATTTATTGAAATATACTGCACATGGGTCAAGCCTCCTCCCCCATTCAATTGACTCAAAATTGGTGTGAATGTGGCTTCTGATCTAGATAGATGATTTGATTGCTGAAGAATTTTACCTATCTAACTGGCATTTTAAATGTACTTTAATTTTACTAAGCTAGCTGGGCATGATACCATGAATCAATAGTGGAAAGTTTTTTGAACCACTGGCCCATGTCAAGTAAGTGCTTATAGCAAACAGCTGTTTTATCTTCTCCCTTGGTTCAAGACCAAGTTGCTTACCATGAACTTAAGATGTGGCTGAAATTTATGTTTTCCCAGTAAGAGTTGCTCAGTGTAAATGTTTTCTTTGCACTAGGGGATGGAAATGGTTTAAAACAGTCAAAATTCGAAGTAAATAATTGCATTGGGAGGTGATGTCAAAGGGATTTAGATGATTTGGGTTAAGAAAGAACCTGTTCAAGCCCATACTTTTATCATACTAAAATCAATTAGTTCCTTTGTTGCTTTTAGAGTACGATGTTGAGGTTTGATGATTGGAATGGAAATTACCTACTGCCATATACATCTTGCAGATAAATATTTTCTGCTCATTTTTTTTTTTTTACATAAATTTGTTGTAGGTTGGTATCTGGAATGGATAATGCTGTGATCGTTGATAAGTTTTATGACAAATCAAACTGGTGTGTCGTTCTTGAGAAAACATTATAAGTATTAAAGAACTGTGTTGCTTCAATGGATCTTAATGGAATTAGTATTGAAGAAAATTGGTTGTTGCTTTTCAGTGGCAGCCTTTGCACACTCTTCATGGTTGAATTTGGTTTTAGCAATATGAAGAATGAGATTAAAAAGTTGCTGGTTAAGGATACTTCACCATCTCTTAAATAGTAACAGAGGTGCTCATCAATGTGGCAAAAGATGAAATTGAGAGGTGCAGCCAAAGAGATAATTGCTCAACCTTTTTCCCCATATACAATGTGTTGGTATTGCTAGGGCATGTATTTCTCTCCTAAATGAGGAACATCAGCGAAAAATTCTGTTTACAGGTGTCAGATTGTGAGTTAATAGTTCGTCTCGGATCAAAATTGTCCCCTGCTCTTCAGTTGTTCATCTATTCTCCATGCAAACTGAGAATGCATTAAAAAGACAAGAAACCAGCAACTGATATTGCTTGTCAGTTGTCACATGTAATTGTTTCCTAACACCAAAAGTAGAGGAATTTTTTAGCTAATTCCTATCTAGTTGCCAAGAAATGATTAATAAGAGGTGCATGTTGGCAAGGAATATCAATTTCATTTAATTTTGTTTAAAAACCATAATGTGTTTGATAAAAATTTTCCATGCATAGGTGACTCTGGCTCTGGCTCTGGCTCTGGCTAGTAGTTCAGTATTTGTTCCCATATATAGAAAAATTCAACTGTCTTAGTAAATAACATTAATAATGATGGTGTAGAACAAGGATAACAAATAATCCAGAGCTAATAACATATGACTCAATTTCAATGGGAGAAGAGAGACATTAATTTTATTTTTGGCTAGGAGTTAAATTTGCTGTTCAATTGTAACACTTCAATACTTAAGAGCAAGACCTCTATTTAGGAATTTTGATGGATGGAAATTGACATGTAAACAGAATTTACGTCTCTTTTTTACAAAGAAGATCGTAATTTAATGAAAGGATAGGAAAAGAAATTATAAGTGATGGCATTAACTTCGATGACAGCATGCGCCAAGTAAATCTCAACTGCAATAATCCATAGAGGTTAGAGGTTCATTGCTCAATGCCTTTGATTGTGTGGAAATTAATGGCTGGCTATCAAGAAGAAAATAAAAAAAGAGAAGAGAAGTGAGAAAAATTTTAAAGAGAAGAACTAAAATCTCTTTCTTCCAGTATCATACAAATTTAAAAAACAGCGAAAGGTCAAGTCAAGATTACCTCAAAATGTTATTCGACTGTTGGATATGAGTAGAGAGTACGTGCCAACTGTTATGCCATATTTAGCCATGACTGAAAGCGGGCGTACCATTTTGTCAGTTATGGGGGGCTTAAGTACCATCTACCACCCAATTCTTGAACCAAGCAAGTAGCAATTCAGCAATAACATCCCTACTCCATCAACTATTGTCGAAAATGAATTATTAACCAACTTAATAAAATACAGGGATTGGAGTGTAGAAAAAGCATATATATATATATATATTTTATTTGTCTATGATTCAAGTTTTTGTTGCCTTTCTTCATTATTCAAGACTCACCACACATAGCAAATGCTTATTCCTTAACCCACCCGAAGTTGCCTAATTAGTTAATGACGTGAGAAATGATAGTGACTCAATTCAATAAGGCAGGAGCAGGACAGCTGGCTGGTTTACATCAATTTTCAAAGGCCAATTAGTGCTGTGGGACAATTTTGGGTGCTCAAAATTTGGTAAGTACGTAAATGTTCACTTACATTTAGCCAATTATCTAAACCTTTTGTCAATAAGGGATCAACGAATCAAGAATGGCGACGGATAGAGCAATAAATGAGCCATTCTGTGTCTTTAAACCATGCAGCTAACAAATAACAATACTCGTTTACTATAAATTTTCAGCCCTTCTGTCACATTGTAAGCAAAAATGGCAAAGATTAAGAAGCTCTTCCCACTAAAAGTTCTTTTCTTGTTGCTTGAAATCCTGCTTAAAACATCAGGGAAGCAGCACTACCTTGGATTCAAGGTTAGCAATGGCGGCCCTGCAACCCAATTCAAATTTCTTAAACACTCCTCATTTGTGCAGATAACAGATGAACATTGGTTTTTCACCTAGAGGGTGCACTTTTAAAGTCATGTTCACAGTTTCCTTACTTCATGCTGGTGGCTTTTGAAGCGGGAGTGCTCTTTAGAGCTCTTATCTTGCTTCTTTTGTACCCTCTTGTTTTGTTGGTTGGCAGGGAGCTTGGACTGAGGATTCTGGTTTTTATGAGCTTTGTTGGTATTAGGAAGGAGAAGTTTAGAGCTGGGACTACCATTTTGCCCAAGTTCTTCCTGGAAGACGTCGGTTGTGAAGGCTTTGATATGGTGATGAGCTATAAAAATCTAGGTCGCCGTGACTGGAATGCCTAAAATCATGGTTGAAGGATTCTTAAGAGACAACTTGGGAATTGATGCTGTTGTTGCAAGAGAGTTGAAGGAATTTCACGAATACTTCTTGGGTTTAATGGAGGAAAAGATGGATGCTGGACTTGTTATAAACCAGAAAATGTGTACTCATCATATTGGTTTAGGTTGCTTCAGAAAATCTCCAGACCTGAAAATTTTCTCACATTGTAAGGTAAAAGCTCTCCCTACTGTTCTGTCTCTCATTGATTTCGATTAGTAATTTATTTACTGAAGGAGAGTAAACAAAACCTCTGTTGTAACAGGAAATTTACCCGGTGACAGAGGCAGAAAAGAAGAATTGGCAAGTCCTTCCAACTAAGAAATACCCAAAGCCATTAATCTTCCATGATGGGAGGTTGGCTTTTAGGCCAACCCCATTAGCCGCCCTAGTTATGTTCATTTGGCTTCCATTTGGCTTCCTCCTGAACATCACCAGAACCATTATTTTCATATCATTACCTTACAAGTTATCGACACCTTTATTGGCCTTGTATGGGGTGATTAACTACCGTATCGGAAGCAGAACCTCTCGTTGCTTCAATCAATGGTGAAGGAAAACCAGGAGGCATGCTCTACGTGTGCAACCACAGAACTTTGCTGGACCCAATTTATGTAACTATGGCTCTCAGGAAGTCTGTCTCTGCTGTTACCTACAGCATTAGCAGGTTCAGTGAGGTAACTTCCCCTATCAAGACAGCCCGGTTAACAAGAGATCGAGAGAAAGATGGGAAAATGATGAAGAAGCTTTTGAGCCAAGGTGACCTTGTGGTTTGCCCTGAAGGAACCAATTGCAGAGAACCTTATCTGCTAAGATTTAGTCCATTATTGGCAGAGATGACTGATGAAATAGTTCCTGTAGCTATAAAATTGCAGGTTAGCATGTTCTTCGGATCAACAGCTACCGGACTTAAATGTTTTGACACAACATTTCACCTCATGAATCCAAATCCTAAGTGCTTGGTCAAGATTATCAACAAGTTACCAAGTTGCGAAACACATAATAGTGGAAAGAAATTAAAATTTGAAGTTGCCAATCATGTGCAGAATCAGATTGCAACAGCTTTAGGATTTGAGTGTACCGATCTTACAAGGAAATACAAGTATGCAATCTTGGCAGGTAATGAAGGGATCGTATAGGTCAAATGTTTTTCATTTGAGCAGAAACCGTTTCCAGGAGAAACAAGTTGCCTGTTTATAACACCAAACCAGTAGCTACCATAAGCCCCTGAAGTACTTATGATCGAGTTCATTGGATGAGAGCTTCAAGCATGATCAGAATAGGCTTGGACAATCAAAATAATGAACTTAATTAGGATAATGAAGTACAGATTTAGTTATTGTGCATGCTTGTATGTGATGATTGTGCATTTGTATACGTGATGTGTTGTAGTTTTCTTGATGTTTGATGAAAAGAATTATCAATGGATAGCACAATAACAGTTCTAAATTTATGAAAGTAATTTTGCAGATCGGAAGAAATTAAGCAGAGTCCAAGTACTTGACAGTTTGCTGAACATGGTGCATCAGTGATCAATACTGCCCTGATGCAGTTTTGGAAAAGAAAATGTTTCCTTCACTTTCACCTCCCTCTGATAAAAATCACACAATTTGTGAATCTTAAATAAGTGGTGAATCTCAATTATATCATATAAAAACTGAAATATTCATAATTTTCACTCACTTCTATGTTTATTTTATAAAATTTACCTAAAAAGACATTATTATAATGAAATAAGTCGAACATAGTATGCATAAAATGATCTAGAGAGATGTAGATGAATTCATCAAAGGGTTTTATTGGGAGTAACTTACCATCTAAGATCTTATTATGATGTGTTCGACGCCAACCTATCTTATTTTATTGAGAGTCAACCAGAGGCCACCATCGGCTATCAGCTCTTCTGCAATCTCCCTCAATGAGCAGCCTCAAAAATTGCCAAGCTGAGTCAGTGTCATATTAGTTGGTAGGTAATACATACATTTAAGAAGAAGAAGCCAGCTTATGCATAAACTCCATGGAAGGAAAGGGTCAAACCACGCCAAACTATCTTCTTTCTTTCATTTTCATGTTCTATCAAAAGTAAATGAGAATAAGGCCACATTTTGGGTGTCCAAAACGAAAATTAGTAGTGGTAAATGGCAATGGTGAAGGCAAGGGTTTTGAGGAGAACATGTGTTATATTGTATGGGAATATAAGTCAGTGAGTCAGTTAGGCACTTGGGGTGCAATCAAGCTTTGGAGAGTAACTAGAAGGCGTGCACTCCTTACAGATTTTAGACTTATCAAGTTTGTTTTGATATCCCTATCTCTTTTTTTCGAATCTCTTGCAAACAAGCCCAACTTAATCCCCATTAGCACCTAATGCTATTCTCTTTTTCTGCCTACGTACCTCGCTGCTGCAAAGCGTGAATATCCTGAGGCTATCAAGAGTTAGGCTGAGGAATACAACATAGAAGAATGGCTTCTTGGGCCAAGGAGGCCCGATCAATTTGCACCAAGCAAGTCCAATGTCCTTCCTAGCGTTTTTACGCTTGAATTAAAAAATTATTTGTGGACGAAAATGCCTTTCTTTTAGGGGGAGGTAGTAGAAAAATTAAAAGTATAGATAGATGGTTTATCAACATGATAATGAAATTGCACAAGTAGATGCCAGTGAAAAACATCTTAGATAATGAAATTGAATGTAATACTTCTGAACCAAAGAGACATGGAGGAGGCTAAATGATAATGCACTATGATCCATTCCAGACTATCCTTGCCCAAGATACATGTAAGTTAAACTATGGATTTGATACTTTCATTTGGTAAAAGTAATCACATTGGAATTCTACATACCCAATAAAACAAGAAACTTTGAACCATATTTTAATTCCATAAAACTGTAGCCTGACAGATATCTAAAGTTGAATGTATCTTCAAGTTTTTGCAACATAATAATTGATAATTCCCTCGAGAAAATTTTGTAAATCAGGGAAACCTTTATGATCAAGTATAAGGACTATAGAAAAAAAGTAGTCTAACCCTAACAGTTCAATCCCCAATCATACGGCTGGTATATCACCTTCAACTGAACATCAGCAAGCATCCCCAGCAAAGCTTCAGAGTCAGTTGGCTCTAAGTAATTTGAGACATGTTTCAATACCTCTACCTCATTCTTGCCAAAGTCAACGCTAAACCTGTTTGTTGATTAATATCATGCAACATAAGTTATTTTCCCAGAAGAAATGTATAAATAAAGCGACAAAAGTTTACAAGCTGACTACATTTAGAAAATCTCTTGATAACCAAGTGGTATGCATTTGCATCATCCTATCTTTTACTAATTCTAAGAATATCACTTTACTTAAGCATAGTGGTTGGTGGCTGTATGCATGGTATCTTTCATATCTTTTGTTTGTCATTGACGTGAACTTCATCTTATATTAATATATAAAGGGAGGTTCTGACTCGTATCCACTGTTACCTACTCAAATTTTAATTTACCAAAAAGTTCTAAAAGACAATAACAAGTCATATTATGTTACGAGTATATTGGTCTCATTAAGGTCATATTTGAATTAAATCTTTATCAACTCCCACTTTTCTACTATCTCTCTTTCAAGGAAAAAGGCAGCTGTAACTCCTTATTTTCATCCCTATATTTTTCTTGTTATAGGTTTTTAAGGTTTAAAATTCAACATCGTCCTGCATTTCTGTTGCTTCTGAACCCAGCTTAGGCAACAAAAACTTACATAATTCTACAACTAAGAACTTCTGTGAAGCTATATAAGTTGAAAAGAAGGCATCACGTTTGGAAGTTCCTTTTTGCCTATGCCAAAGAGTTTTAGAGTGCATGCATGTGTATGTTAGTGGGAGTGGGAGTTTGCATCTCTGCATGCTAGTGTCTAGAGAAAATTCAAAATCTGATTTCATCTCCTGAACAGAAAATTAAGGTCTCTGGGGAGAAATATGAATTTGTGCACTCAGAACCTCTCTTGAAATAACTTACCATTTGAGGATCTTACTAGCATATGCGACCTTGCCACACAAATCAACAATAAGTCCACCAGCTCTTACGAAATCCCGAGCTGCATCCATCAGCTCTTCATCAATGTTCACAGGAGAGTAGCATCGAAGAGCAGGCCCAGATCGGGTGCCACAAACCAGGGCGAAGTGAATTAGAGGCTCCGAATAGAGTAGAGCCACCTGATAAAAACATATAACACGGAATGAGCAAGACTGAATTTCCACATGAGACATTCAAATCTTGATGATGAAATATGTTTTTTTTTTTGGTACGTGATGATGAGATATGTTTTAACAAAACTTATTCTGGCTAATCTCCTAAAGCCTGAAGTCAACCTAATTAACTGCCCAGGAGAGGATTGTGACGTGAAGTCAACCTAATCAACTACCCAACACAACATTGTGAGGTCACTTCATATGCACTATCCTCGGTTCTTCCTTCTGAAACAATGGGTAAATTGAAAAGAATGCCAAATTCTAAAGATATGGGTAAATATTCTGCACAGATTCCAAAGGTTCTATTCATTTCAATAGTGTTCACCGATAAATATAAGCTTTTTATTTTCACTGGTTTTCATAATTAACATCAAACCACGTAAATAAGTTAAGCCGGAAATACAAGCCTATAACAGTGGCTAGAATCATTGTGTAACAGTAAACATCAATTTTACCCAGTGTCCTACCTGTGAACGTTTATCTTTTACACCAAACGGTTTCAAAAGATTGTATGGCGGCCTTTGATTGCCCCTTAAAATGCCATTCTGAATAGATGAAAGTGAGTATGTGCACCCACCAACAACATACTTGAAGTCTCCAAACAGCTTCCTTCGTTCCAATTGACCAGCTGGATGACCCAGCACTAATATTGCATGGATGGCCATCATATTGTACAAATTTATGAAGAAGGCGAGCTTCTCCTCCCTTGGCATGTCTTGCACTCCTACTCTTTGGAGCTCTTGAACTATTCTTAAGTACCTAAAAATGTTTTGCCATTAATAATGAATACTTAAGTGTTAAAAAGCAAAACAAATAAAAATTTGAAGATACTAGAGTTAGCAATATAATACGCTAGGAGGCGTCAAACCTTGCAAATTCCTCACTTCCATGAATACTTCTATAATCAACATGTCTACCATCTTCTGATACATAGGCTTCAAAAATGGCATAGGACAAAAATCTCAGCCTTGATGCAACGTCAGTGATGGGCTTAGGCTTCAGTTCAATTATACCCCTTGGAATGTTGTGACATTGAGATGACACAGTAGGATCATCGTCCAAGAACCGATACAAGTGGTTACCATCCTCGAATAGATTCTCACTATTATAAAGCATCATAGAAAAAAAATAAGGATTTTCAGCTATAGATTAAAAGTGTTACACAACAGAATAAAGTGGGAGGATGTGGACTCACTCAAGAACATGCTGAAAGAAGAGTTCCTTGGCAAGCTTTCTCCCAAATTCAACAGCCTACTCCAAAATGCAAGCACAAAGGAAAGGAAGGGGAGAGTCAATGGTGCTATAATCAAATCCAAACATGTATAAACAGAGCAAGCACAGAATATGTCAAATTTTAAACATAAAACCAGCGGTAGTATGATTCAATCAGTAAAAAACTAAGAATTATGCAATAAATAGAATATTCCAAAACCATCCATTTGAAACAAAAAAAAAAAAAAGAGGATAAGGAAAGAGAGGAGTTGTTATTGCGATATGTATTACTATTTCTTCGAAACTTTTATGATATGGTAGTATCGTAAGATATGATGGTAAAGATAAAATTGGCATCCATAATCCACAATACGCCTACTTATCATTCATTATCCAGGTCTTCATCTGACTGCTTGAGAGGGAAAAGAGAAGGGAAAGGCATTTTCAGAAATTAAGTAAAAGGTCTACTATTGCATCTTTTAATCAGACTAGAATAAATATCACTAAAAGGTCTAGTGAAGAGTACTTTTTGATGTGCAAGGATTAAATTGAAAGCATCTACAATAATGAGAAGTTCATACCATTTGTCAAGTTCAAAGGAAGAAACATTTAATACAATGTAAACAATTTTTTTTTGGCTTAACTTTGCATTCACCATAGGAAACCACTGAAAGAGTGTTCTGATTCAAGAAATCTTTGGTCCTAACTCCAAATGGAGAAAAATGATAGTAGTAGTAGAGGAACAAGACCATACGGTAAACAATTATCACAATTATCACCTGAAATTCACTATAATAGTCTGGGAAAACATAATAAAAATCCCAACTAACCTCTTCCCTTTCCAAGTACTGATCTTCTGATAGGAAATCCACCACTTCAGAACCTAGAAAACAATTAGTGAACCTGCGCATCTTGTAAAACCGATCCTTAACAACAATAGTTGCTTTCATTTTTCGGACAATTAGAGCTAGTTCATCAACAGGCCCATTACTGGACACATCATCTTCACCAGAAAGAGGTGGTAAAGGAGCTTCAGCTGATGATACTTCAGCAATCAAAAAATCAATCTTCTCATCAAGCTTGCCAGACTTGTCTAAGTCTTTGAGTTCGCTCAAGCCTCCAATCAATACTTCATTAAAGAAGACCTTAGGAACAACACAAGACCCAGAGAACTTCTCTAGCTCCAACTTTCTACTGGGATATAAATCAATGTTGATCTCAACATATCTAAGCCTTTTCCTGCGCAGAAACAACCTAACTTCTCTACAATCTCGGCATCCTAACCTTGTGTAAAGTATAATTCTTCCTTTTGTGACAATAGGTAGAAGTGATTCTTCAATGATATTCTCCCCCTGCTCAGCTTTGCTTTCTCCATCACCATCATGCGACATCTTAATGTAGTTTAGGGGATTCCAAGCAGATCTTTCTGCAGTTTTTGGAGACATTGCAGTTTGTTCCCCAAGCTTAGCATAATCTGAAGTGTCCTTATCTACACCAAGAGGGGCCTGTTCAACTTCATATCTCTTAAAAGAAAGGCGACGCAGGACACTGCTCACTGCAACTGTACCCTTCTCCTTCACAAAATTCTTAAGTGCCACTGCTTTCTCAGGCCACACAGATCCCTCTTCCTCTGGATCCAGATCCAAGGAACGAGTTGATGAACTTCGGTTAGCCTCCATCCCAGGAACTTCTGTGCCATCAAAGATAGGCTCAGGCTCCTCCTCAGCAAGAACTTCTTTTGTAGTCTCATTCATTTCTTCTTGAGCTTTAGAATCTAAAACCCAATCCTTATTCATCTTGTCACCTTGTTCAACATGTTTATCATCATTGTCTAAATTGTCCCCAACATCTCTAGATTCCGAGACTCTGTTCTGATCCCTGTTGTCACCCAATCTGTCTTGTCCATTACAATCATCTAACTTATTAACATCGTCCTTTCTGATGTTCAGACTTTGCACCTCCTCCATGGGTTTCCCCTGATCTTCTTTGTGAATTCCATCAGTATTTCCCTCTAGTTTTTCATCAATGGAAGAATCTGTTATATTTTTATCACTGGTGTTGTCCTTTTCCATAGGGTCAGTTACACAAATTTTGTCATCCAACTTGCTAAAACATGGCCCTTAAACTTTTTAATTGCTCTAGTACTTGTTGCACACAAGAATTCAAGGATTTCTTTGCAGATTCCTGTTTAGCCAAATTCCACAGAAGACCAATTCCATTAGGTATAAAATTTGAATACAAGATCTCATAGACAGAGTCATATTTGAAAGCAGACAACCATACCAAAACTACTTGTCAAACAATAAGATCTCAAGTTTCCATTTTTAAGCTATTTAAACAGTTTTAAATTGTTAATCAGAGCAAACAGGAAAAAATATCATAAAACCGGGATGGCCTATCAAGATCAATCTTACAAAATAATCAGCATCTGAATTTGGGCATGTCGGTGCTTATTCATTGATCTTCCTAGAGACATTAACTTCTTATAACATTCTGACACCAGAAACATAAATACAAGCAGACAAATTTAACCAAATATTGAACTCACAAAGCAGTCATGATGAGAAATTGTCTTAAACCATTAGCTGAAATCTAGCAAGGAAGTCAAGCCATGAAGCTTTGATTATCGGCCCATTCTTAGTCAAACGAATGGGTCAATCCTAAACCCACCATGATGTAAGAAGCAGGAATAACTACGCATACTAATATAATACTAAAAACATAAAGGTCAAAGGCAAAACAATAGCAGACAAATGCGTCTCATCTAACGACAACACAGAAGATTAAATCAAATAACCAAGAATTTTTTTCCACTTCAGATTTTTGAAAATCAAACTAACAAAAAAAAAAAGATTAAACTCTAACACTTGATCAAGTTTTCATTTCATTATCAAACTACTTAGCTCTCAAAAAATGACAAAAAAACCCTACAAAATCGTCAATTGATAAACAAGAAATTAGGGTTTTGCAAGTTAGTCGTAACGGAAAAGATGAAAATCGGAAAACAGAAAGGAATAGAGAGAAAGAGAGAGCTTACAGATCTGGAGAGAGTGAAGAAGGTGTTTGGCTGAAGAGAAAGAGATATAGGAAAAGAAAAGATCTGGAGAGGGTTTCACAACAAAAAAAGGAAATTAATAAATAAATTCTGGAGTTACGGTTCTCTCTTTTTTTTTTTTTTTAAGGGGAAATGAAAGCGTAGGAAGGAGCAGGGAGAGGTTTTCAGAGAGTGGAGACAAGCTCAAGCGGGGAGAAGCGGGAAGTCCGTGGGCTGTTTTTTTTTTTTTTCCTTCTCTTTGTACCACTTTTTTGTTTTTAGACTTCAGGACCCCTTATCCTCTTTGTCTACTTTGGACACCCAACTCTTTCGGCGTTTTTGCAATCAACCCCCTCCTTGTTCACATTATTACGGATCGACCTAACTTTCTTTTTTTAATTGCCATGAAAAATCAATCCACGTTTTGAAAGTCAATTTGGATTAGATGTAGCTTTGACACAACTTGGTTATATAGAGTGTACTGTTCAACTGATTCAACCCAACTTGATGAGACTATGGCACAACTTTTGATTTTGTTTTTTTTTTTTGTAAATTTAATGCCTTAAGTTGTGGAAATTTTCAAAGACAATGACACATTTTATGAAATTTTGTTTTTAATGAAAAAAATCTTACGGTCTAAATTAATTAAGGAATACAAATATCGAGAAATCATTATTAAATAGTAGTATATTTTAAAATTTACTAGATGAAATTAAAAATTCATGAAAATTTGATGAAAGATATGTTCAAAATGAAAAGTTATATGACGCACAAAAATTAATTTTACAATTGACACGATAAATATGATAATTTAAATTTCTCTTAATAATCATCTTGAATGTCGATATGTCAATGTTTTACTTTTTTAATAGTCTTTTTTTGGTAATATTTGATATCTTTTATAAAATTATTATAATATTATAATTATCAAAGTAATTTTATTATTAAAGTGATTTAAATATTTATGATTTTAAATTTTTTTTTGGTTAATAATTTTTAATTTTTAAAAAATAAATATTACTGTATTTGATATTATTAAAAATCAAATATTAATTTATTTAAAGGTATAAAAATAATCATACATATTGTAATAATTATACAAATTAACAATTATATAATTGTTTAAAGATAATAATTTGTAAAATATTAGTAGTGTTTATTTATATTATAATAAAAATAATTAAATTATTAAATTAATAAATATATTTATTGATAGGTAAATTGGTTTTTATAATATAAATTATGTAAAAATTATTTAAATTAAAAAATAAAATCAATCTGTTAAATTTATTAAAAAAATTATATTATATATAAAATATTAAAATAAGTTAAAAATACGTAAATTAATTTAAATTTTTTATAATAAATATTAATTTAAAAATATAAAATTTATAATATAAAATAATTATAATTTTAAGATGCAACAAATTTTTTATTTACATATTAAATTAGTAAAATTTACTATTATTAATTTTACATTACTTTATTTGGGCAATAAAAATTTTCTATCATTTTGTATGGAAATTAATTTACTTTTAAGATAATGATTTAATTACTTTTGATGATCTAAAATTACTATCACGTAAAATCATCAAATATTTATCAAACATAATGATTTAATTATTATGTATAAATATCGTGATTTTTAAAATGATCACTTTGTATCCACAGTACTTTTGTGTCATTCAAGAGATTGGATTACCATTATGAAGTTGACAAAAGTTTGTCGTCTAGAATAATTGTAGAAGTATCTGTCAAAGACGTGAAAAATATCTTGAGTGCAACTGCTTCATGAAAAGTACCAATGGGTTTCTCAGGCAATGCATGTGACGATTACATGAAAGGCACTAAGGCAGGCTCCTAGCATATGGTCCTTCAACAGGTCTTCGAATCCATTAATGATCTAAAATTCCTCTCTTCCGTCTAATGGGAAAGGACGCTAGATTTTTTACTCATTTCATAAATAATCCATTGGGAAATTTCAAAATTCATATGAAAGAGAGAAAAAAAAGAGGAGGATGACCCGGTTGGCTGAGTAGAATAGTTATAATACATGACAAATAATAGTAGCACAAAAAATAATAATGTGCAAGGAGAGGACGAATTTTGAGAACGTTTTGGAAACAAAATCATTTTTAAGTTCGGAGTATGAATGTAGATTTACAGGGGGTTTACAAAGAACATACATTACATATATGTTCCTGTTGCTGAAGTTATACTCATTGCTCAGCACGATGATCCAAAGCCTGTGCCAATATAAAGCTCCCAAGAACAGCACCGGTGCCATCATTTTCCATCTTCTGCTATTTTTCTGGCATAACTTTCTTAATACAAGAGGAGGGGCAGGCCATGGCTTAACCAGATATCAGTATAACATTCATTTAAACAGTTTTATGCTTGTCCATCCTATATATACCCTGCATTAAGGGAAGTAATTTTGACAAGTGCAACTCTATGCCTCCACAAACAAGTTTACATCTGAAATGCGCACTAGGCCAATTAGGTCGCCAATAATATTTCTGAGGAAGGCTCTTTGTCCCACTCAATATCTCCGCATGCACTAAGAACTGTAGTGAGGATGTAATCATCCACCTCAAAACCTTCTGCTTCCATCCGATACATAAGCTTCAAAGCTTCTCGACATATTCCATTCCTTGCATAACCCATGATCATAGCCTTCCAAGAAACCAGATTCCTTTCTGGCATGCTGTCAAAAACTTGAAAAGCCTCTGATACAAAACCACATTTGGCATACATATGGATTAAAGCACTACCGACAAACACGTTAGATAAGGCGGGAGTTTTATTTGCAAAGGAGTGAATTAACTTCCCTTGTGAAACAGCTTTAAGCTTAGCACAAGCTTTCAGAGCTGAAGAATAGGTAAAAGAATTGGGTTCTACACCTTCCTCCATCATTTCCTTTAAAAAATCGAGAGCCTCGGCCTCATGCCCTAAGCTTGCACAGCCAGAAATCATGGCAGTCCATGAGACAACATCCCTCAGTGGCATCTGTTGGAGGACCTTGGAAGCAATATTGTACTCCCCACATTTAGAGTAGAACCATACTAGAGTGCTTCCTATGTACTTATTAGTTTGGATATAATTTTTTACTATTTGTGCATGGACTTCCCTGCCCATGAGTAAGTTCCCAACTGAACCACAAGCCATGAGTATGCTTACTATGGTCAAGTTATTAGCAATTATATTTCGTCTCTTCATTACTCGAAAAAGACTAATGGCATCCTCACCAAGCCCCTTCTTAGCATACCCTGCTATAATAGCAGTCCATGTAACCATATTTCTATTCCTCATCCCATTAAACACAACCCTAGCATCCAAAATCTCCCCACATTTTGCATACATATCCACAAGGGAAGTCCCAACAAAAACATCATTCTCGAACATCTTTTTGATTATAGCACCATGTAATTGTCTGCCTAATTTCAATGCCTTTTCCTCTCCACAAGCCTTCAAAACACTGCAAACTGTGAACTCATTAGGCCAAAAACCATCATTTAGCATTCTCGAAAACATTGAAAAAGCCTCCTTCCCGTACCCTTGTTGGGAGAAAGCAGATATCATAGTTGTCCAACAAACGACATCCTTCTCTTCCATTGCACAAAACACACGAAAAGCACTCAACAACTCTCCGCATTGTGCGTAAAAATAAACAATGGCACTATCCACAATCAAATTCCTCCAATTCCCCTTCAGAATACAACCATGAATTTGTCTTCCTAACTCAAAATCCACCCTTCTACTACACAAATTCATCACACAAACAAACATCTTCCCGTTCCCTTGAACCCCACTCAAGATCGAATCCCCAAACAGCCTCAAAGCCTCATCATCAAAATCCATCTTCGAATACCCATTTATCATCGCCGTCCAACTAACATAATTTCTCTCAGCCATTTTATCAAACACCTTTCGAGCTTCCATTAACTTCCCAAATCTTACATACAAACTTATCAAATTATTCTCAACATAGGTCACCGGGTTCTTTAAACGCTTCAAAACAACCGCATGAACTCTCCTAACTTGTCTGAAATTATTACAAGATTGAAGCAAAGCTAACAGCTCATCAGAGTCGACTCTTCGACAAACCGACGGTGGGTTTATATCCGTAAAATAGGCATCTAGGTTATCACGGAAAGTTGAAATATTGGTTAAGTTATCGAATTCGGGTAAAGAACATGAGTCCTTGGAAGAAATGCAAGAAAATTGGGGTGGGTTTTTGGTGTTTCTGGGTTTGAACTCGTTTCGGGAATTTGAATAATGTAATGATGGATTTTGAATGGTGAAAAAGGAAGATTGTTGAAAGACTGTAACTTGCGATGAGATTAACGTTAACGAAAGCATTGGTTATAGCTTTTGCTTTCTTCAAAATTCCCGCGAAAAAAAAGGGCCAGTTTCCAATCTTTTTGCTCTAGTTACCATGAGGCTTTCAAAATGTCGGTCAACGGCCGGTTATAAATAATAAGACCATTTTACCACTAAGCTATCTAATTACGACACCGTTTCAGATAACAAAAGTGAGACCCTGGAAGTTCAATAATTGAAATCTCGTTAAAAATTTGTCAAAACAAACGACGTAAGAAATCCTTCCACTTTAATCAGCTCTATTAGATTTTTCTGTCAAACACGACCTTTTGGTTTCCTTTTTAATTTTCTTCTTAGGGATTTCGATTTTCGATTCTTTTGATGAAGAAGGAGAAGATTTTGATTAGATTGTTATTATTATGATGTCCAAAAAACCCAGCAACTGCGCTATTTGTGACAATTCAAATCGCGCTTCTATCTGCTCCGTTTGCGTCAATTACAGGTATATTTATAAAATCGTCGGTAAAAACTTTATTGAATTTAAACTTTTAAGCTGTTAACTTTTTGTTGTTCTGATGAACTCTTCTTTGCAGATTAAATGAATATAATTCTTTTTTAAAATCACTGGAAAGCCGTCGTGATCTTTTATATTCAAAATTATCCGTAGTGCTTGCCGCAAAGGTTTGATTTCTTTCACTTAATTTGAAATTATTTTTAAGAACTTTCCTGAGTTTTGTTTAATTTTAATTTGTGTTATTATTAGGGGAAAACTGATGATCAACTGAATTGGAAAATTCGTCAAAACGAGAAGCTAACTAACTTGAAAGAGAAGCTTCGTCGCAGTAAAGAACAATTAGCTCAAGGTTTTGATGCTTGCTCCTTAGTTACTATTACTATTTTTTTTCATGTTTATATTCATTAGGTTTATCCTAAATGATGCTTTATTTGTAGGTAAGGCTAAAATTGAGAGAGTGTCTCATGACTTAAAGGTTAAGTATGGAATGCTTGAATCTGTTCGTGGCACGGTACTAACTTTGATCCATTTTGGTTTCTTTGCGAGAATTGGAAGTTGTATGAACATTAACTATATGCATTGTGTTTTTTCTCTTTGCAGTTGGAAAAGAATCGTGTCGAACAGCTCGAGAAGTTCTATCCCAACCTTATTGTCACACTAAGCTCGGGGCATGTGAGGACTCACTGTTTCTGATGTTTGTGTTATTTTTGAGGAGTTAGATTTATGTTTATGTCGGATTTTTGGTTTTTTTTTTTTTTTCTAATTAGAATGTCTTTTATTTTATCTAAAAGTTGTGACTTAAGACATTTTCTGAGTTGCAGAGGGCAATTACCTCTGATCGTCTTCATAAGCAGTCCGTGGTTATAAAACAGATATGCAAATTGTTTCCCCAACGTCATGTAAGTGCTTCTATGTTAAATTTGTTATGATCCCGGATAGAGACTGTTGACTAGTAAGCGTGCTTGATATGCTTCTTCTAGTTATGATCTGTATCTTTACAATCTTAATTGATTATGCATGTTACAGAGATTTAACCAAAAATCTAGGGTGACATTTTGCTTTTATAAGAACTTAAAGATTTAGCTAATGTGGATAAGATGAGGATATTTAGCCCAAAACTTAAATGGCTCACTTCCCTTGCCCCTCAGCTTTCCTATTCTAGGCACTAACTCTTCTAGTTTAAATCATGTTGCTTTTGAGTAAGCTAAATTGTTTCTATTTTCACAGGTAAATTTAGAGGGGGAGAGAAGAGATGGATCTAGTGGTCAGTATGATCTGATTTGCAATGCTCGCTTGCCAAGAGGCCTTGATCCCCACTCTGTTCCATCAGAGGAGCTTGCTGCATCATTGGGGTAATGTTTTTGCTTATTTCTATAAGGCTATATGACGTAGCGCTGCTACAATTATTTCCACCTCTTTGGGTAATATGACATTGGGACGGCCCTTCCCTTAGTTTTAAATGTTCTTCGTTAACTGAGTTATTAATGAGCATTTATGTTCCAGTTTCTGACACTTTGGTAGCCACTTTAAATTAGATACATGGTGCAACTTCTGAATCTTGTTGTTCATAACTTGGCTGCTCCTGCACTTCATAACTCAGGTTTTGCGGTAAGAACTAAGAACTGATTATACTCGAATGCTATGTCTAAAAAATTTCTTGAAATTTCTGGTTTTGGATTTTTTGTATTTTTTTAGTTTTTGGTCATTTGGGTTTCCTGTGGGTAATCTTAAAGAGGTCTAAAAATGTAAATCATAATGGACTATTACCAAAGAAAAATTATTTTAGACAGTGTTAGTATAAGAATAGTTCATCCTTCTTATTTATTTTCTTAAGCATTTCTTAGATTTTTTTAAAGTTTGAAATGTAGTTCATTTTTACCAGTTCTACTCAAATATCTCTTCATTTCTATTAGGATAACTTGCATCTTTAAAATTTATTGATTTTAGTATAAAAGTAATTTGCATTTCATTTTTCAACAACCTTTCTGGTTTCCAGAATGACTATCAAAGAATTCAAAGTTTGTGTCTTTTTTATGCTGAAAAGCATTAAAATGATTGTTCATCCTTCAAATCAATTCTGGTTTTAAAAATGGTAAAAAGTTTTTGCTTCTTTGTGTTTTTGTGCTGGTATTTTTTCCTCTGATTTTTTCTTTAAATTTGTTGGTTTCTCATTTTGTGCTTCTGGTGGTTGGAAATGTGTACTAGCAACAATCTTTTTGAAATATGTCCCCTTTTGGAAGTTCTGCTGTTTCACATAGGAGAGGATGTTGGTTTCTATAATGATAAGCAACAAAGTCAAGCGAATGTGAGATCTATTTTACCTCCATTATTGTTATACTCATCATGTTATAGTTTCACCTCAGGGGTCTTGCTCACGAATATGGCAACGAGATTCTTATTGGAATGCACGCCCTTCTTCTCGAAGGTATCTCACCAGAAATGTTATTCGACGTGGCTGACTAAGGTTTTTCTCTTGTGGAACTGAATATAGTTTGTGTTTTGCAGCAATGAATATCCGCTTTTTATACCACGCCAAAATTATTGCTCGACTAGTGGGGATAATTCATGGACAGATAGAAGCTCTAGTAATTTTGGTGTTGCTTCAATGGAATCTGAGAGAAGATTCCGCCTGGATTCATCTGGAAGTAATAGCTTTAATTATTCTCCTGCCTCTCCACACACTGTTGAAACACACAAGGACTTGCAGAAAGGGATATCTCTTCTGAAGAAAAGTGTGGCATGCATAACCGCTTACTGCTACAACTCACTCTGTTTAGATGTTCCTGCTGAAGCATCTACCTTTGAAGCATTTTCGAAATTATTGGCTGCGCTATCTTCAACCAAGGAAGTTCCATCTGTTATGTCATTAAAAATGGCTTGTTCAAGGTACATCCTGCCTTCTATTTCTGATCTATGAGCTGAATCATGTTTAAGTTTTACTGTTTGGCAAATTTTGAAGTATAAAAACAACTTTGGTTTGGTATTTCTTAAGAGTATTTTTAATTATCTTTCAGATGGTACTTTTAAGTTTTAGATTGGGTTTTCTTTACAAAATAAGTTTTGAGAAAATTATAGCTAAAGTTGGAAATCTCAGGATTTGGATTCATGAATGAATGAATTTGTTCCAATGAGAACACAGTAACATATCATTGGGAAGAGTTTGGGTGTCACCCTACATACTTAAAGTTGGAAATCTCAGGATTTGGATTCATGAATGAGTCATTTGAATGTGTTCCAATGAGAACACAGTAACATATCATTGGGAAGAGTTTGGGTGTCACCCTACATACTTAAACCAAATTACTGTGCTTCGTATCCAATGTCAATATCAGTTTATTAGTATCCCTTTGATTTTAAGTTGCACCTTATTCCCTGTTCTAACTTTCTTCAAGTGAATAGATCACTAACATATTGATAATAAATGGTCTGAAATGTGTCTCTTGGGTAGGATGTGAATTTAATTTTTTCCCCTTCTCGCTTTCATATTACTGCATTTCATTTGTTTTTTAGTTCTTTCATTTGTCAAACCTACTCACAGCTTGTAATTTAATTTTCACCAATTGTTTTTTGTTTGGTCTTGTCAGAATAGAAATTTTCTTCTTGACAATCAAGTGTGAAGGATAAGACTTTGAAAATGACCTGTTTTGAGTCTCTTGTACCATAGAGGGAGCTGAATCGAACTGGCACTATACAGAGTTTTATCTATAAGTTTAAAATCCTAATTTCTGGCTGGTGTTCAATCTACTATGCAAAATGTTGGCATGATGAAGATGAGAAGAATTGTTGTTTATTTTCTATTTGCTGTTTTCTTTATACAGGTGCACATGTATGAATCTGTTTTGTATTTCACATCTATTCATTGTGCTTAGGGGTGTAAGCGAATAGAGCTTTCGATGAATCATTCATGAACATGTTCGGTTTCTGTTCGTTTATGTTCGTTTATTAAGCTTAACAAATTATTTTGAACACTATTTGTGCATTCGTTTATTAAACGAATCAAACACGAACAGCTGTCTGATCGTTCATTTATGTTCACGAACAAGCTCGTTTACGGTTCATTTAAAACTCGTTTGTTTATTATTCATTTACTGTTTGTTTGCTATTCATTTATTATAATACTAATAAAATTACATTTTTATCCTTTACCCTACTTCTAATTTAAGATTTGTTTATGTTTATTTGGGTTTGTTTATGTTCGTTTAAGGTTTGTTTGTTTAAATTTGTTTGATTATGGTTTGTTTATTGTTCATGAATTGTTCATTTATATATGTTCGTGAATATATTCGTGAACATATTCGTTTAATGTTTACGAACGAGCTTGTTTAACTTAATTGAATGAACACAAACCGAACACGAACAACCTATTATTTAAACGAACGAACATGAACGAACAGAGCAAATTTCTTAACAAACACGAACCGAACACAAACATCTTTAAAAACAAATGAACAAATACAAACATACATTCGTTCGTTCATATTCGGTTTATTTACAATCCTAGTTGTGCTTATTTTTATTATTTTCAGGTCAGGCAAGCAAGTTCAACAAATTAACAAATCTGTATGGAATTTGAATTCTGCCATCTCATCGAGCACATTATTGGAGAGCGCACACATGCTTCCTTCGATGGTATAAAATTGCCTTTGACTTTGTTCAACTGAAACTTTTGAGATTTTAACTTGTTGACTTTTCTGATTTACAAGATTAACAATGGAATTCTGTTGTGTGGTTTTGGACCAGCATGCACATATATACATTCTATTCTATCTACTTTTCTGTCTTATGTTTCTGTTATCATTGGAGAGGTAGAAGTCCTGGTAAAATATCACTAATATATATATATATATATATATATATATATATATTCTACTACTCAGCTGTTGCCACTCAATTGGAAGTCATTTGCATGGTTGGATCCTTTCTTGATTTTCATTCTAGCTTCAATAGTGAATTCATATGCTTTTCCCATTGTTATCTCCACTTCTAGAGAAATTCTAATAACCATGATGATGAGATTGATTTTTGGACTTTAACTTGGATGCTTGACAATTTGAATAAATCATTGTGATTTGGTTTTGTGCCGGCCTTGCAGAAAAACTTCTCTGATCATAACCTTCGCAGTTCAGCTGCCAGTTTTCTTTTTGCCACTGAGATGTCTGATATTGGAAAGAACGAAAGCCTTATTGATGAATGGGATCTTGTGGAGCATCCTACATTACCCCCTCCACCATCACAAACAGAAGATGTTGAGCATTGGACTCGAGCCATGTTTATTGATGCCACAAAGAGATGACCAGTGCTTGAAAGTGACAGATTGCATATATAATCTAGTAAAGTCTCAAGTAATAGTGTTATTATCTGTATGTATCTTAGGCCGATGCTAATTTCCTCAAGTTATAGCTTTAAACCAAACAAAACCATGGTTTTGAGTTGAAGAAATCATGTATCTATCACATGTTATGTATATAATTATATTTATAGGTAGATTGAATCTTCTTTTTTCCTATTCTCAATGGAAAAAGAAATAGAAGAAAAAATTTGTTAACAAAATTACATTGTTAATTTATTATGAAGGTTATAGCTTTGCTTTTCATGAAAGATTTTCAATCAGCCAATTAACACGAAACTATAATAAAAAGGTTTCAAATTTCCCTAAACATGCATAGAACTAAAATTGAAATCATTAACTGTTCTCCGTCACAATTTAAATTACATAAAACTGTGATTAAAAAACTCGGTTTGCATTATTGAACCAACAAAAAAAAAAAAGAGAGCTCTCAAAATTCTATAATTAATTACTTCTTCCTCTTCTTTAGCGGCTGAACAGGCTCTTCTTCATCTTCTTCATCTTCAGGCTCTTCTTCTGCTCCAATTCCTTTCTCCTCCTCATCGCCACCTTCGTTGTCTTCCTCATCATTGTCACCCTCGTCCGGCTGATCATCATCACCGCCATTATCATTGCCATTTTCCTCTTCTTCCTCTTCTCCATCTTCTTCCCCATCTCCATTTCCTCCTTCTTCAGTTCCCTTCTTGGAGTTGCCATTAGCGTCATTGGGATTGTTCCCATGATCAGCTCCTCCATCTTCATCAGAAGGGTCCTCATCACCTTCTCCATATCCACCATCATCATCATCATCATCTTTATCATTGTCTTCATCTCCATCTCCCTCTGCATCAACTGCTTCAGATTCATGTCCACCCAAATAACTTTCTTGGTTTTCACCTTTGGTTGCTATTAACAGCTTAAGAAGAACCTGAAACTATTAAATCAATTTAATCTTAGCAAATGCATTACAATTTACACCAAGAAAATGTACAAAACAAACAACAATAAGTGAATAATCCTTGCCTATTGGGTTCTTCTTTTTGGGCCATCTGGCCATGTTGGTTTCATTAAGATTTTCTTCTTCTTTCTTGATGGCTAATATTAAATGAGCCTTAGGCCTTTGATTCATGGCCATGTAAAACCGAGCCCAATAATCTTTAAACACACAGTTATTATAACGTGGTCCATGAATGGAATTTTTTTGGCACAGTCCATAATTAATGGATTGTTCTCAATAGAGTTTGCATACATGAAAAAGATTTTTTTTTTTTTTTTTGACTAAGATTTTTCCTTTACACCAATAAAAGATTTTGTTTTTTACTGTTACAAAAAAAAAAAGGTTTTGTTTTTGGCATCAAAATGAATTTTCAGTCACGTTAAAAAAATAGATAAGATAGTGTATGGTGGGCCCACAAAGAACCAAAGTCCCGGAACTCAACACAACTTTACATAAACCGAATCTATGTTCCCATTTCAGTTCCGAACATTGTACTCAACCAACGGCGCAAGCTAGCAACCCAAAGCAAAACCTAGTACTAACCAAAAAATTTCCAATGTAACAATTACAGTCTTCAAAAATAAAAACGTTAATTTTAAGACTCACTTGAGGGGAAAAGAGCTGAGCTTGAAGCGTAGCTGAGGAGGCGAGTAGAGTTAGTAGGGTTCCCCATGCGCACGTTAGCAAACCCTGGTTAAACATCAACTCGACGTTACTTTTTTTGTTCTCCATTTGTACGGCAAACACAAAACAAATCTGCGTAGGGACAAAAAAATCAATAACATCAATCACATGACCGTTAGATCTGATAACCGTTATGTCAACCGTCAGATCTACACAGCAAAAAGATTTACTTACTAAAAAAATAAAGTTCCATATTACAAAAAAAAGGGAAAAAAGAAGCTAATGGGTTTTTTTAACAACGTTACCATAATAGAATACGACAGAAGACAGAGGATATGTCTCTGCCGGAAACAGTTAACGCGAGTTAAAAACGACAAAAAATATATACCTGAAAAATTCTGGGTGGTTTGGAAAATTTTCCAGGAAAGGTGAGGAAAATGTAAGAAAACAAGAGAAAGTTAAGAGTTGGGGCGTGAAGTACAGGAAAGAAAAGGAAATGGGAAGTTTCGAGAGAGAAAGACAAAGGCAGGGTTGCTTGGTTAGAAGGAAAAAAAGAGTACTTGAAGAACAGGTGACGATATAGATCTAAGGATTCTTTTTGGTACAAACATTAAAAAGGTTTAGCTTAGGGTGTTTGTTTCAATGTTAGCCGCCTGATTATGATCGTGTGGAGTAGGAGAGATTTAAGTCAACGTTAAGTTAGATGAACACATGGGGCGAGTACAGTAGGAAATTAAGGTTGGACTGAAGAGAGAGAGAAAGGAAGTCTAGTTAATTTATTTTATTATTATTTTGTTGTTTGCGAATTGGATTCGCTATTAGACCATTCTTGCTGCTTTTTTCTTCTTTACTTGCTTTTGTTATTCTCTTCTTTCTTTCCAATGCTCTTACAATAACAAATGATTTTAACATTACTATTTATGCATAAATATCCATTAATTAATTAAAAATGAATCAATTGAGGTTATATAAGGTTAATAAAAATGTACATATTATGCTCTTATAAAAACTCTTTTTTCTTTATGCAGGGGTGGTCCATGCAAATAGAAATAGAGTTAAAAGTGGTGAAATTTGATTAGATTAGAGAAAGTAATCAAGTTTTTCCCTCTTCTGTAATGTTCTCTGTTGTTTCTTAGGAGAGATGAAAAGCTAGCAAAGCACGTAAAAAGAAAAAGGAGGGTAGCCTTAGCCCCCTACTGCTGATGAAATAGAAATGCCATTGGCATTTGTTCTGAAGACATTGTCGGACGATATGATTCTTCGTTGGACCCACACGTCCCATAAGCTTCGTGGCATACCATTCACACTTTCTCAGTCCCAGGGGCTCCCCTATGAATGAGAATCAGATTGCTCCACGCGTTCCTTACATATAATCTGTCTTTTCTTCTTTGTTTTTGGGTTCCATTTTTCCTGTTTAAAAAGGAAACCCATCATGCTTTGATATATGCTATTCTGTGAGGATCCATCAAAGCAGAAACTTAAGAGCCTTATTGGAGCAAAGATGAATGAGTAAAATGTCCAACTTTAGATGTCTAAGTAAATTTCAAGAAAAGGACAGCTTAATCCAAAGAATGAATAAATAGAATAGCTTATTATCATGATTAAAAATAGCCTAGGCCATGGAGAAAGATGCTAAAATGAAGCTGAACTGGTACGCCGTAGCTGGTACTTGGAAAGAGGATTTGCATTGGAGGACAAGAGCATCTCCGCCTCCTGATAAAAAAAGTGGTTAGTGAGTAGTGACTGTCCAAATATTACTATGACAAATCTTCAAGGATTACCCCTTTCACCTCTGCAGGGCCAATTTCAAAGGATCCTCATAAGTTTCGTGGCCATACAATCAACCTAAAGGAGGGGGATGCTGCTGTTGAGTAATTCTTATAAATCAGTTGACTGGTAGGTATAGCTAATCACCATTCAACTGATAGGCAGCACGCAATATGAACTCATTAACGGCTGCCTTTGATTTAGCAGCTCCCTCTGATGTTCTATATTGTATCAACAAATATATGATTCTACGCTATTCATGATAAACTGCTAATATGCCAAATGTTACAGGGGAATCCATGGCTTTGAAAAGTTAGTGCCATATAATGGGGCATTAATTGATCTAAACTCCCTTCATTGAAGTACTCTTAAACTAGGTTGAAATAGTTGACACTTGAAATGGACTTGAAGTCATGAAAACTTGCTGGATGTTCTCAAAGCTCTAGGGATAACAATTCCTTGAAGAACACGAAAATTTGTTTAAAAGAGTTGAAAACGTTTTGAGAATTCTTTTTCTTTAAAACAGTTCTGAAAGCACATAATCAAACTGGATTTTCTTGTTTTTCCAAACTACTTTCTGTTTTAAGAACTTAAAATTGTTTCGAAAACAAGGAGTACCTTATTATCTCTCTTTTTTTTTTTTTTGTTAATTTCATCAATGGTTAACAAAAAAAAAATAAAAAATAAAAACAGATTGGTTTCCATCACTAAGTGAATCAAGAAGACAATGCTAACAAAATCATATTCTTTCTTTACGAAAATGGTTCGAGTAGGGTACCTTTTCCCTTTTGAGGCAGCTATTCATTTTCCTTAATTGATCTACTTCAAGCTCCAATTGATTGGTATAAGCCTACCATTACCAAACAAACAGATACACATTATTGAGACCACATATCTATATGTACTTTGTTTTTCAGTCTTCCAATATGAAACAGAAAGTTCATTAAAGATTTCATATATAAAATTTATACCAACCTGCTTCCTTGCACTCGACCTTGCTGCTGACTCACGGTTCTTGATCATCCTCTTATTTCTTCTCTCGATAGTCTTCTCCATCACTGCTGAATACATGTACTTCCTCCCAGTAGTTGGCTGAGGATCTGAAGATGTTGCTGACACTGCAGGCATTAGCATTGTAATAGCCAGTTGGCTCTCTGGGTACCCAACATCTACACCTGGGTTTTCATAAGCTGACTCTGGAACATTAAAACTTGAATCCATCATTATCATTTGTTGTTGCTGCTGCTGCTGAACAGCAGCCATTTGGAACTGCGGCCAATCAGCCTGTTGTGAAACTACAGCCATTGGATCAATTGCCATAAATTGTTGTGGATTAGGGTGTTGATAACTCCGGCACGAACTAGAAAATCCTCAAGCCTTGTTTCTCCAAGCGTCAATTGCTGTTGAACAAATTGTTTATCCATTGCATTGACACTGCCATGATCAACAATTTCCTTGCAAACCTCATCAACAGTTCTCTTACTTAATGTTCCATTCAAATTAAAATTCCCACGAAAGAAAGAAGCAGATGCAGAAGAAGAAGGGTTTTGCTCCAATCCTCCTTCTTCAACTCCAATCACACATCTCACTAACTCATCCAAATTCATAGCATTCAAAGGCTTGCCTATCTTTCCCAGCTGGCTTTATACCTCATCAAAAGTGAGGTTATATAGAGAAATATTCTGTCTAGTCAAAAGCGGAAACTGTTGCCCCTCAGTTCTATTCGAAGACATCATAAATCTATCTCCCATTCACCAATCAATCAATAAAATCACAATGTTCTCAAAATTTTCGAGGAAGAGAACTTCCTAGAGGCTAGATCAATAACAGATTTACCAGTTCAAACCATTAACAGTTTTAATCTTAATGATCCAATTCAGATCAGAGTTGAGTTGACTAATCAGACAGTATAACGTAAATAAAGTAAAACATTGGACTCAAAAGGGATCTATAAACTAATTCACGTAAAGAAAAATAAAGACATTCAGCCAAAAAAGTGTTTATATCAAATTTTCAAGAAAATATAGGGAAAAAGCAAAATGGTGAGAGTAGATGGAGGGTGAGAGGTGAAAGGCATCTAAAGAGTAAAATCTGAATAGCCAGAAAGATGGAAGAACGCACTGGTAGATGTGTATTTGTTATCCTATTTTTAGAGTTTGTGCAGGACAGACTGAGAGAAAAGATTACTCGTCTTAACAGCGAGGGCTGATTTCCTTGCTAATTTGGTGGGATATCTATATAAATGAGATGAGACCCACAAAAAAAAAAAAAAAGTCAAGAACCAAACAACAATCAAGTTCATTTTCATCACTCTCTTTGTTAAGTTTACTTTGTATATTATATTTTTCCCGGTGGTTTGATTAGTCGGGTGCTGTTTCCATTTTGAGAGGGGGAAATTAAAGGAACAATTGATTGACCGTTAAAGTCGTTAAATCTGGAAGTTCCTGGCGGGGAAGGAGCTTTCTCTTGTACTGTAGAGCCAATCAGTTGTAGACATCTTGCCATTTCACCCATCGTTTTCTTCTGGGCCTAAGCCCACTTCTTGTAGACTAACTCTTACTTTAGCTTTGCAGTCTTCCCAGCCAAGCCCAGTTCAAGAGTAAATCACCGGTTTTCATCTTTTGTATGGATTACAGGATTCAAGACAATGAATAATATTTTCACCGGCACAAACAAAGTTTAGGATTAAATTCTATTTTTATTTCCATAAAAAAATAATAAACAAATGTGGAGAAAAAAAGAATACAAGGAATACATGAGATTTATAATAGTTTATTTTCAACGTGAGAGCTACATTCACTTGCAATCGCTGCAAATTTTTACTGCAAAAACTCATCAACGTACTAACTTTTCGTAGATATAATCAATGTCCAGACAATAATTAGGCTCCACACATTTAATAAATGAAGTTTAAATTTGGGCAAAATGATACGGGAGCATGCCTAAAATTAGTCAAATTCTTAAATTTTATATCTATGTTCATGATTATAATTCAAATTCAAGTCTTCAAAAAATGTGCATTTTCATTTAAAAATTTCCCGAATATATAGATAAGTGATACATTTTGTCATGAAAAAGGCATATGAAGTATGTATAATCTAATTTGATATCCTTATTCAATTTAACTTATTAGATTCGAGTATTGATAGTAATAGAATCATCCTATAAGTAATGAAAGTTAATGAGCTTTTATTGATGAAGTGAAAATGGAAAGAGTGGCAATAGGGACATTTCACATTAGATTTGGTAATTTGTGTCGTCACATCGTGTTTTATGTTAAGCATAATTTTAGATATGACACAAATATAATACGAATATTTAAATGACACAAATAATTTAAATACGAACATGATATGTGTATTATACATATTACACACAATACGATATAATTAATACATTTAAAATTAATTTATATCTAAATATATGACACGATTATAAACAAATAACATGATTAAATATGATTAATTTATTATTTAAACAAAATATATCATTTAAATTAGTATTTAAATAAAAATATTTAAAAATTAAATATTTATAATATATTTAAACACCATAATAATATGATAAATACGATTATTAATTTATTTATTAAATAAATTAAAATAAAATTAAAAATTTTTATATTATAAATAGTACATATATTAAATTTATTATTATTATTTGATACAAATACGACACAAATAATATTATATATTAAACATATCAATACAATTAAAACATAAAATATAATTATATTAAACTCATATATAATTTTTTTCATATTATATTTTTATATCGCGTTCAAAATTACATTTAATATTAAAATTCTTCTAACATAGTTCTCTCTTGTAGCCTTTTGGCTTTTGGAATGGGGCAAGGAAATCTAATCAAGATTGACAGAAGTGAAAGGTCA